CGGGAAGATATGAACTCAATAAATTGACCTCGCTCCCAATGTGTGGCTTCATAGCTCAGTTGGTAGAGCAGTTGGTAGAGCATCGCACCGGTATCGAATTATTTCATATAAAAACTTCACATATTAAAAAACTATACCCTACAAAGTCTACGGAGGTCTCGTTAATGAAGCAGTAGAAACCGACAAAGAGGTTATTTTTTTCTGCAAATTCTTCACTGATGTTCCAATTGCTTAAATTGGAAAATTCCCTCTTTGCAATTTTTCTGGAAAACTTTCAATAGACAACCAGCAGCCGCTAGAAATTTGAGTTTAGATCAGTCTCGGAAAAGGTTGTCTTTAATGCATTAAAGAGCCTTAAGAGAAATAAGTCCTCTGGCCTTGACAACTTTCCTTCTGGAATGTTAAAGGACTCTGCTGATATAATAGCCAAGCCTCTCACGCATATAATTAACCTGTCTCTCGCAACAGGGTCTGTACCTACTGACTGGAAAGCGGCTAAAATTGTACCACTTTTTAAATCTGGTTCAATGGCCGAAATCGACAATTATAGGCCTATTTCAATACTTCCTTCAATGTCAAAGATCCTGGAGAAAGCAGAATGGTCTACTTTCTCATTTTCAGTACGGCTTCCGTCGCATGCGCTCTACTGAACTGGCCGTTACTCATCTTACCGATGTTATCAGAAGAGAAGGTGAGAATGGTAACCTGACAGGCTGTGTTTTCATCGATCTATCCAAGGCGTTTGACACCATCAGTCACTCTGGCCTCCTGAGCAAGCTTTCAACTTACGGAGTTCGTGGAACAGAACTCGCATGGTTCACTGATTACCTTTTCTGCAGATCACAAGTTGTCCAATATAAAGGCGTGCTATCAGAACCTCAACCCATTCTCACAGGTGTTCCTCAGGGAAGTATCCTGGGTCCTATCTTATTCATTATCTTTTTCAACGATGTACATAAACCGCTTCAACACTCGAAGATTATCACTTATGCCGACGATTCAGTCATCTATACCTCTTCTAAAGATATTGATACTATACAGAGAAGCCTTAGCGAGGATATGAATAACCTGTGCGAGTGGTTTAAAGACAACGAACTGATCATTAACCTAAAAAAGGACAAGACGGAGTCTATGTTATTTGGAACAGCTAAAAGAATCAACCTTCAAGACAAGGAACTTAAACTTTCTGCTAATGGGTCACTCATCAATAATACCTCTACCTATAAGTACTTAGGTGTTCACCTTGACTCATCACTAAACCTCGCATCACATTTTGACCGAATCTATAAAAAAGCTGCAACCAGAATCAATCTCTTGCGATCAATTCGTCCTTTGATCGACCAAAAGTGTGCAGAATCGATCTATAACACTATGATCGCACCTATCTTTACCTATTGCGGAACACTTGGTCTTAGCTTTCCGGATTACCGAAAGGAAATGATAAAGAACATCGAACGACGAGGCTTTAAAGTTATCGGCAATAGTTCTTTTAATCCCCCATCCGTGAACAATTTGATCAAGCGTAAAAGCTGTCTGTTTGTTTTCGACTGTCTCCTGAATAATGTTTGCACACCCTTTAAGAACTACTTCGAAAGACTGGTTCATTCTAAGGCCACTAGGAATAACGGTATATCAGTGAAATTACCCAAAGTTCGTTTAGAATTTGGTAAAAAGAGCTTCTATTACCAAGGAGCAAAGACTTTCAACAACCTGCCTGCTGAACTAAGGTCGTTAGATTCGAGACTGAAATTTAAGAACAAATTGCGAGATTATTTTAGTTAAATTCTATCTAAACGTGGTTATAGGTATCCTTTTCAGAGTATTTTTATTTAATTTTTAATTTTTTTTTTTTTTTTTTTTCATTTTATTGTATGCTTTTCTAGACCTTAAGATCAATGATTATATCTTGTTAAATTTTATTTTATTTATTTATTTATTATTTTTGACAGGACCCCAAGGACAACAGTGTTACACACTGATGGGTTTTTCAATCCTGTATAAAAATTCGTTATTATTATTATTATTATTATTATTAACCAAATACTATCTTTTTGTTTAATAGGATAGAAGAACATCACTTAGAAGTCATAAAAGTATTCATGAGAGGAAGAGGATGGCCAAGGAAAAGACGAACTTGGAAAGCTTATGCATCATTTTTCAAGTTGCAGGAACTGTATTGTGTCTCTTTTATTCTTTTTCAGCACACATTCCTGACAACTCCTTCCTCGGTTTTGCCGTTCCGCGGAAATCTCAAGACAACCCTATTCGTCTTAGGAAACCTAACGATCGAATGGTAGCACTAGTTTATGGAAAGGATCCAGAGTTTTGGAGGGTGAGTATTGCTGACATTTTAACTGACAATTAACTGTTGCTGCGAGCTGTGGCCGATTATTAAATATCATCAAAGGCAGCGAGGATGCCCTAGCGCGTTTTATATCTATGTGAGTCCAACAGGTCGCGCTGAAAAATTTTTCGATTGAAACTCATAATTTCGAGTCGATTCCAAAGAGTTCTTTCACTCTTTTACCGTTGGCCAAAAGTTACTGCTACGAGTTTCAACTATTTAAGATATTCATTAAAGAGGTTTTTAGATACTCACGTCAGGCTTCTTCTTTTATTGTCAGGATCATGCTGATTATATCGACACAATGAAAAAACACTTCAGACAAGTTCACGCTACTTTGGGTGGAACGAGCGTAAGTGATACCAGTGGGTCATGAAATTAGTAAGCTTAGGCCCCGGCTGATGTGGATCGCGGTCGCTGCGAGACATCCTCAGTAGGGATTGAGCCTGGGGATCAAGAAAAAGGCTTGTGGCCAAGTCATGATTGGTTTAATAACAAGATAAGTTGGTTTTATCAACTGAGTTGATAGTGCAGATTAGCCACCGTAAAGAGTTTCCAAATTGTCCTGCGACAACCTGCACCGGCGCAGCTCCAGGGTCTCTTAAAAACCAACTCTATGGTTTTAGTCTCATAACTGATTAATCACGCAGAGAAGTAAAGCAAATATTAGTGTGATCCCGGCTCTACTTTCTACACACAATGACTGTATTACCCATGAAACCTCATTCACTCGCCACCAAGTCACGTTTACAGAAAAAGTATCTCAAACCTTAGCCACCTTTCTGTCGTTTTCACGTGGATACTCTTTTAAACTAAATTCTTTTGGAAAAATTGCCTATTAAATTTCACTATGTCCCTCCTTTAAAGGAAAGCTCAGGGGATGAAATTGGATACACCAACTTATACACTCAAAAACATCTGACCACTAGCCTATCTTATTCCTGCTTGTGATATTTCGCAGAAAACACAGCGGAAGAATGATGTCCCCGAATATGTGATTGACCATGGGATACTTAATTATACATCGTTCTTTAATCTTTTGTAGACTATTAAGGTAGATGTTATTATTTGTTACAATGCAAACGGATTAAGATTTTTTTGCATTTCTTCTATGCAATCTTATTCTTTTTATAGAACAAAATGTGGTCAACTAAGGTTTTTGTTCTGTCCTGTTATATTTTTTTTCGGTCGTAGTTTTCAGGTTTCCCTTTTTTTCTTACAGGATGGATATCTCGTCATCATGTCGCCTCGTTATAGAAAACTATCTTTGCCAGTTTGTCGACCTTTTTTAGCGTTTTTTTCCGACAGATTTTCAGTTTTGACATCATTTTCGTAACCAGCAATTACTATAATCACCTCGCGCGAGGTGAAAGTTACCCAGGAAGTGATAAATGCGATGGAGGAAAATTTACTTTTGAGGAGCAAAAAAGATTGTACTAAGTTTGGCGAAAAACTTTTCAGAAGGAATATATGATGCTTTTGCTAATTGAATTAGGTAAACCTTTTGATTTTTTGTGGAAACTGGCTGCTTATCCCGATACGAGCAATCATTTTTAATAAAAACGAGAGCTCGATTAAAAATGATAACTAGATTAAAAACAATTTTGATAGAATGATCTCAAGAACTAAAAGATTTTTTCGGTAGAATTCGAAAGCACCTGAGCAAGCATGATAAGAAAATTATTCGCCGAAGGGGAAGTGCATACTATTTAGAAGAATTGGAGGGAATTATTCAACAATATTTACTTCGCCTTCGGCGAATAATTGTTAAATACTTTAAAAAATTAAGGAAATGATTCAACAGATACTGGAAATGAGATGGAATAGGAGTCCATGCTTGGGGCGAAAAAATTTCATCACGTCTTGACAAGAGGACTATCCTCTCTTAGACATGGCCGCCGGTAGCCTGACTCGAATGCCTAATTAATCCATATTGGAGAACACATTTTATTATTTAGATACTGATGAAATACCAGGATTTTTCCTTTTACTTAAAAAAAAACTTACTGACGAGTAAGCGAAGCTCACTCGTGAGAGATACTTTCAGCACGAGAAGATAAAAATTCGTATCCCCAAGCGGCTATGTCTCTGTGTATTTTGACGGTTTCAAATGTTGGAACACGATAAAAGTCGTCAGAGGTTACTAACCCCTTCGCACTTCTTGAAATCACGTTGTTTACAACTCTGGAAGTTCATTTAAATCGAAAAGGGTTTCTAAAGCTATGTCTAATGACAATGGCCAAATTACGTTATCAACTCGGTTGACAAGACCAAATCGTCTCGTAATTCACGTCTTCGACGCAATACCACAGTTTTTTAGAAACTTACCCCTTTTATCAAATTGAAGAGGTTGAGAAAGACATTACTAGACGGATATACGAGGTAGACTGGAAATATAACGAGGAATCTATATTGCTAATATATTTCTTTTCTATTTTAGGGTGAGCCTCATGTACCTTACGAATTTACTCATGTTGGTATGTTGGAAAGAGTGAATGCATATGTTGAAAATCAGGTAACACTATGGCATCTAATCTGTTTCATAGAAAGTGGCAAAATGATCACCAGATATGAAGAATGATGTGTAAATACGTTCCCTTCTTTCTATTTTTAACTGGGAGTTTTGCAAGCCTACGAATTGGATGAAAATTACTCAGTTCTGATTGGTTAAGATAAATGCAGTTTTCAGGTAATTCAATGTGGAAGAGGGTTGAATCAGTGCAAAGAAGTAACAAACCGGACATTCTGATAGGTCAATAATCAAAGAAACTCATAGATAGCCAATCAAATGTCAATCTTGGATGTCGCAACATTTGGCTACGCTGAAAATTTGCGAGCGAAACAATGGCCGGCGTTTTAAGTAGGTTTTCTATCGCCACCGCGACTGAAAAACAGCTCTAACAACGAAAACACCATAAAAAGCACTGTTTTTTGGTTATCGTTTGGAAAAAGTGGTGTTCAGAGAAGGGGATTGCCAAGCAAATCGAAGATTTACGAGCCGTCTTACCTTAATACTCTGCTCGAGCGATTCTACGACGAAATTAAAAACAAACATGGTTAAACCTCGCAAACAATGATTCCATTTCATCGAGAGTGATTCGGACACAGACTGAACAAATCCTTGAACTGTTAAGCCGGACTCTGAACTTTTTTGCCCTTTAAGGATGAGCAAATATCATTGTGAATTATTGTTTTGATCGTTTGCGGTTGTTTTGACCGAACACACGATTTGAATAAATTATTTTTGCATTTGATGCGCGCGCTTTGCTTCGGCACAATTATGATAAGCTATCTCGTATTTTTCCATGTACATTATTAATACGTAATCACATGATTTTTCTCGTGCAATTTAGAATAAATGAGAACTTGTTAATTTTTTCAAAGACCACAAATTGTGCTCACCCTATAATTTGGTGCAATTTTGTTAGTCTTTGAAAAAATGATTACCTATACATATTCCGTCGAAATTTGATGCAAATTAAGGTTCTGATTGAATTAATTTTTTTTTCGATGTAAGAATTTTTCACCATTCTTTGGTTCTGGATTTGATTGTAAGTCAACATTTCACCAAGAGAGTATCTGGGTACCGTCAAGAAACACAACAGACAGCAGCTGTGTACTACAGACTCAACCATTAGTCAAATATATGACTTTCATATATTCTTAATCATTTAGACTCAACCATTGTTGTTCAGCTGCCGAGCAGCCTGGCCCCGAGTAGTCCGTGTTTGCCCGTGTCGTTCATATCGCAAGGAACAAGTTGCATTATGCGAGACGTGCTGACGAATACGGAAAATTTCTTTGGATTTCAAGACTTTGAAGATGGCTTATAATCATCCAAGGTGTGATGCAATCGGAAAAGAGGACCGTGTCAGCCATATCACATGGGGTTTCACTGGTGCATCGGACGCTTACTCTCCCGAAACAAGGGAGACTCAATCTTATAGAATTTATGGACGCTATCTTTGGCTGGCATCCTAGCAGGATCTCTGACTAATAAAATCCTGGGACGAAAAGTTGTCTTTTTTCGACTTTCTACTCGGAGTCTATTTGCTCTCAGACACTAAAGTAATTCGTGAGGTATATGTATAATTATTCCCGAGATAAGACGATATTTACCACTAAACCTCAACTGACGAATCGTATCGTTTGAGACTTGAATACCACAGCTTTGACTAGGACCTTTTTCCCAAAATCTGCAAGATATCGTGACCATTTTAGATTCAATAAGATAAACCTTTCTTAACTGCATGCATATCTTGGCAACATTGCACATTTAGAACAATTTTGATTAATACAAGATTAATTTTCGGTCCAAGAAAAGAGCAATTTGAACAAAACTAAATCAGTCGGAGCTTCTCTCTGTCTGATTATTACTCCATCTGCTTTGTGCAACCTGTCATTTTTTTGTTTGAAAGATGACTGAGGTGTAAATCGATCTTACTTCTTACTATTTGTGCACAATCAATGCCCCGCTGTAGGGATCAATATTCACTCACGACTTAGCCTAACAGCTCTGATTGGGAACGTTGTTGCGCACGGTACAGCAAAGTCTGCCAGATGTCGTAACAATTTCAGGTATCTCTAAAATGATCGATAACTATTACTGCTTAGGCTGGTAATATTAAACATTTAGAACAATTTGCGTAATTCAACCCAAAAGAAGAGCGTTTTAGAGCAAAATCAATTTCATTCAGAGATTTTTTTTATTCAAATCAGTTTTAAAATTACTCCAACTGCTGTGTGAAATCTCCAAAAGTAGTTTAAAAAACATGCAAAGAGTGGTCATATTCAATCTAGAGTTTGAAACTTTTTTATTCCTTAACCATGGTAATACTCAATCTTAAGAAATATTTAATCAACACCTCTGCCTCAAACATATTCTTCTTGAATACAACTTTTACCTTTTTTAAATCTTAGACCTTAGGGCATTTTACTCATACCAAATTAACGTTTTCTTTTTTAATTTTTTGTTTTTTATTCAAAATATTAAGTAGATTTGAGAAGAACTCAGCCACATAATCAGTTCAGCTTTTGAAAATCGGAGTTTCAACATGCCAGGAAGAGAATAATCAGTACTCTTTCACAACAATAATTTCAAATTTATTGGAAATATATATTCAAAAGTTGAAACCCATGGAGATTATAATATATTCGCCAAAAAATTTTTAGCCTAGGTCAAATAACTATAGCAGCTTGTAACCTCTCACAGTTAGCTTGCACATCGGCTTTATCAAAGCTGATGAAAATGGAACCTTGTTTTTCCAGACGGACTGTCCTTTTGATCTGGCTGGGATTTACTTTGTTTTTCTTTACAGTGCAAATGATAATCGTCTATGTAGCGTTAAATGCAGATGCAGATAAAACTATTGGCGTAGTTGTGAGTAATAGACCAAAGTCGACCGCGAGGTTTCTCCATGAGAGACTTATTCGCACAATTAGTGACAAAGGTGAGTCAGGACTTGAATCCAATCCTTGTCTCATTGAGAGATTGTAGATTGTCAGTAAGTAAATAAAGTCTTTGTTAGAGAGAGTGAAAGTAAAAAATGTGGCGGTGAAACCACTGATAGACTCTTGGCCCTTATTACACTCTTAAAAAGACGTTAAAATGATATTTTTTAATTAAAAGGCTACAGCCATCATACAGGAGGAGCTTTCTGGTCATTTAAAGATGATTGATATAAACTACGCCTAAACTAGCAACTAACACTTTCTTCCTCATTCTTGACTTTGTAGATAGCTAAGCATCTTACAGTTTTTTCTACATTTGAAGGGCATTGGGAATATAATTTGAACACGGCCACTTAGAACATAAAGATGTCATAAGATACTTAAAATCATACAACAGTGTTTTAACCTCATTTCCAAAAGAAATTATAGGCATGCCACGAATGCAAGAGTAATTTTGTCGAGATGGCTGGGTAGCGGTGGGACATTTCGTGTGAATGATTTTCCGGTTTATCTAGACAGCTATCTGAATCATTATAAGCAAAATTAAACTGCTATTCCTCCTGCTAAAAGCAAAACCGAAGCTAAATTTTATCGCCACGAAACCTTAGGAAAGATATAATGCGCGGTCTCTTTCCTTCCATAAAAGGAAGATAGAAGGGTCGTATTTCGAAAGTTTTCACTTGGGAATAACAATGTAAGCTCTTTGATCGAAGGTCTTCTGTCTAGTGTTTGCCCTCTGCGTGTGGAATATGGAATGCAAGTTATCAAAAACGTATTGACACGTGATGGGGCAAAGTCCAGCGAATCTGATCTGCATACAGGCGGCCTCGAGGTTTCATTTGTTTCTCGATATTTGGATGCCACGATCAAACCCTTGCACCATACTACATCTAACTTCCAGATAGACAAACATTTAGATGTAAAGATGCGTAGATGTATAAATGTGATGTAACAACAATAAGGATATAGAAACGAACTTACAATTTGAGGCGTAAGAGTCTTTTTACTGCAGGTGCGGTAAAAAGACTCTTAAATAAAGGTAACACGGCGCTAGCAAAAAATAACAAAACGACCGACTTAGTTGAAATCAATTAGCAGCGAAAATTATCTAATGGAAACAACGCTTTATACTAGCAAGAAATAAAACGTTACTGGCGTTATGTAATTCTTACACAACCTCACGCGAAAACGCGAACTTAATTGGATAGAAACATAAAATACAACAGTAGTTCAATTGAAAGAAAAACAACATAAAATAATTTCGCAGTTACTTGACGACAACCGCAAATCCATTTCTAGTTGTTTCAGAGCATACTGTTCGAAAAAAAGAATTAATTATATGAAACCTCTTAAAAGCATACTAATTGGACATTAAGCAGGGTAATCGAATCAGAAAGCAAATATAATATAACCTACTGATCTTTAGAAGCTTTGCAAATTAGGAATCACAAGACAAAATAAATCATTCGCTGGTAGTGCTATCGCCCAGACCAACAACAGCAATTAAAAGGTTGCTTTCCTGCGAATTTGCCGATTTCATAGAAGATAAAACACTTAACGCTTGCGAAGAATTGGTATCATTCGACGTTGTTTCGCTCTTCACTATAATCCGAGTTGATCTTGCCGTTAAAGTTGCAGAGGAGAGACTCAGAGAAGATGCTTCCCTAGGACAAAGACTTTCTTTGCCTGTGGGGGACATTATTCTTCTGCTTTCTTTTTGCCCCAAAACCAAGCAATTTGCATATAACGGCAATTACTTTCAACAGGTTTTTGGTACAGCTATGGGTTCGCCCGTCTCTGCTGTCATTGCCAATATGGTTATGGAAGACGTGGAACAAAGGGCCTTAGCCACTTCACCGGTTAAACCCTTTTTCTGGAAACAATTCGGAAATGAAGCGATGCGCCTTCCATCGCATTTGATTTCAGTGGGGCCGTCTGTCCAATTCACCCTTGAGCGTAAAAAGATAGACATATGTCATTTCCTGATTTAAATGTGTACAGAGGTGAACAGGGGAATTTAGAGACAAGTGTTTACCGTAAACCTACCCATACCGACAAATACCTCGCTTTACCCTACCCTATTTGCCATAAAAAAGTCTATTGCTAAAACTTTACTCAGGAGGGCTGACTGTCTACCATCTTCACTTGATTCAAAGGCTTAGGGGAGAAAATATGTTTCTAATGTCTTAAAGCGAATGATTATACCAAAACCTTTCTCCGTAACTGCCAAAAGCCAGTTACAACTAGTAGCACTCCTGATGAGAGGGAACCAGCGACTGGTTTGGCTGTTATTCCTTACGTTTAGGGTGTTACGGAACCCATCAAGAGAATTTTGAATAGCCACAACGTTAAAGTTGCTCAAAAATGCTCTTCAGACTTTGGGGCGTATTTTTTCCAAACCTAAGGATCCTGTCACAAAGAACAACAAACCGATGCTATTCATTCTATTTCCGTGTAATGACTATGATCACGACTATATCGGACAGACCAAACGTCAGTTTGGTACACTTTTGAAAGAGCATCAGAAAGCGGTCTTCTTTTCCAAAAATGAAAATTCAGCTTTGTCGGAGCAGACATGCCTAACCAACGTTCCATTGTTCCAAGGCTGAGCTCGGATTATTCAACCATATATAGACTCATGTTTGGCTCAGCCGATTGGTTAATATAATGATCAATTTTTTAATTATTGCTAACATTTTGAAATCCCTTTCTTAGTGCTAACTATTCCCAGTGATGAAGGGGAGAAGTGTCACGTACCAGATGATCCTTTGTTCCCTTTATGCCATTGGAAAATTGAGGTATGCCATGTTTAATAATGTTATAAAATAGAGATGTCAAAGAACTCTACTCCGTCCTAAGAGGGAAAGGCGGATGGCCAATCTTGTGTACTCGAAAAGTCATCCATAATTGAGCTGGTCTTGCGGTTCCACGGTACTCGGCGACTGATCCAGCGTCTAAAAGAATAGGAAGCAAAATTATAACCCTTTGCGCCTAAAACAGTCACGGTTTCGCATTCTTACGCCGATTTCAAGCATGAACTATGAACTCTGATCGGCTCCCTATGATTTACAACGTGTCATTATTTTGATTTGCTGTCACGCTGCTTCGTTGAAAAGCTCCTATTCCGGCTATTCACACAGCTAGTGGCAAAACTTACTCTGACGCTTGTCTGATGTTCGTCCCTTGAAGAACATTTCCTGTTTCCATTTGTCTCGTCTGTACAGGAATTTAACAAAACATGGGACCAGAAATGTCATGGGGAAAAGTATAAGGTGGATCCTAGCAGTCTGTGCTCTGTTATTCAGTATCTAAGTGAGGTAAGGCTAAGACTGGAACGTGAGAAAATTCTCTTAAGGAAAGTACAATACAAGTTTTTTTTACCGAGTAAAGTCCAGGGTAAAGGTAAAAAAAACAAAAAACAAAAAATCATCAAGATTTTGAATTTTTATCAGTGGGACGTTTTCAGGCCAAAAGAAAAAGAACCTATGCAAGAGATAATGAAAACCTAAGTGTGTTGTATCACTGTATCCTATGTCCATCTTTTCTGATTCCATTACTATCATACGAAACTTTGGAAAGTTGTCGGAAGCCGTCACAACTTATTCGTACGAAGAGACCGTCGGTATCCACTTGAGGGTCAGCCTTTCGCCTGGTTTTTCTAAAATACACTCGTATACTTGTTACTGTCTTCCATTAGAAGCTATTCAATCATTCCCGTATTTCTGCCTTAACTGAATCGAAAGTAACTGAGCTTTTTCAAGAGATTTTCCATCTCTTGGCGCTGCTCCTATCTTGCCATTTGATATTAAACGAAAGACTTGCTTTTCGTTCAAATTGTCTTCATCATTTAGGTTCAAGCTTGGTGTCCCGTGTTACCATGGCGACTGGACGAAAACCCATACAGTGTTGAAAGAGAATGGCAAAAGGTAATGGCTCTTACATTGATCAAAGGTGTTGGAATTGTATCAGCCGTGAGGTCGAAAGGCACTCCCTTATTTGGACTAAACAGGCTGGCCAGGGTATGGGTCTCTGAGGTCTGAAGTCTTTAAAAATCTTCAACAAGGAATACTTCTATCTAGAATCTTGAGGACGGTATCTTTTTATCTTTTTAGACCGGAATACATTTTTAGTAGCATAACTGTTTCTTAAAATATATCTACTCAAAATTTGCAATATAAATTTGTTTCTCTGAGGTTGAAATGACTAGAAAATTAAAGCCTACTAAAGAAATAAAGGAGGCTTTCCTAGAAAGGGTCAGCTTTTTAAGGTCCTAGAGACAGACCCCACACAAAGTTCACTATAACTTCGCTTAGCCCTACCTACTGACTGTTGTCTTTTCGAAGAAATACACTCTATTACCGTAATGCATAGCCTCTCAGGTCTTATAATTTAAAGAAAGTTTAACCGTCGTTTTTAACAAAACCGCGTCCTAAACAATCCTTAATTTAGCTGGACCTTTTATCTGAACATTTAAATTGGTGAACAGCGTCAAGAAGGCCGAATGGAAGGACATTTATTTCATTAAAACAAATCTCTGATAGAGAAAGCCTGAGGCCCACTGATTGAGTAAAACCCTGGTTTGGGTTAGACTTCGTGTAAATAAACGGCCCTCTATGTTTTTAAACAAATCCAGAAAAGAATTCTCTTATCCTCAAACTTGCATCGTTCTTTTAAATTCATGGTGAAATAAAAAGATTGGAAATGTGCGTTGATCAAAGAATTATAATTGGTTGCGAATCAAATATTTTCTGAATTATTATTTTATATTTTCAGGCCACTATACAAACAAATCTATCAGCACTGCTTGAAAAGTTTGAAAGACCCAAATATTCTTGGATGAGGAAGAGAATCCAGGAAATTTTTCCGCATTGGATAAAGGCTGTCGAAGAACTAGGATCGAGGGTGAACTTACATGGCCGAAGAAGAAAAAAAGTATAAGAGTCTACTGCCATTTTCCAAACGCGAAATGCTTTTAGGTGTGGATAGATATTGAGAGTTTGAACCCGGGACCACCAAATTACAACAATAGTTGCAATTGGAAATTGGATGTTTAGATTCATTCAAATAAACCTCTAATAAATTTACAACAAATCTGTCGTGATTTCTTAAGCGTGAAAGGAAAATCTTTTATTCTTTTGATAGATCTTGGTTTACATGGCAGCAATAGAGGTGAACAAGTTTCTGGACAGGGCCTTCAAGGGAGGCCCTTTAGGGGAACTGGTTCAGTGGTCTGACCTTATAAGTGCCTTGTATATTTTAGGCCACAAGCTAGAAATCGGTCTTATGAAAGAAGAAGTTCAAAGGTAATAAAACGTTATTGATTTCACAGGCCTCTCATTGTCTTATTAGTTTCTACCAAAGCGGAAATCAGTACGATACATCTCTTTTTTATGATTTCATCTGCAGGCTTAACAGCATTTGATTTAGCAGTTTGCGAAAGATTTTAACCGATTTTTAGCGCACGTTATGAATTTGATTTTCCCAACTATTCTCACATTTAATAGTCAGGATAAATGTAAAAAGAAGTTCAATTTTGATTTAAGGATTAAGTAGGTTGAATAGTTTCCAAGAACGCCAAGTGCGACTGATATGAGTTTTTCTAAGCCATTTTTCATCGTTACGACGAGTTACAATTATTTGAGCTGATTTCTGTTTTTTGCTGCCATTTAGTTTCTTGTTCATTTATTATAAACCTACTCGTGCACGAAAGAAGATTTTAAATAGGTACTGAGTTTATAGTTTTTAATTTTTTAGCCTCCTGGTTGCTCCGGCTTTAGATGGTTGTGCGCGCCAAAAACTGCAGAATGAATCTGATCTCATTTTCACTGACATTTTGGGAGTGAATGCCATAGCTGGACACACTGGACCAGATTATTCGCGATACAAGTGAGTATGTTCTCGATAAATCTGCATGGGTCATGCACGAAACAACAATCAAGCTGTTGAAAACAAAAATGCCACCTCAGCGACAACAACGACAACAACAGCAACAAGAGCAATAAGAGCAACAACAATAAAGTGGAGATATTTATAAACAGACAGCCCAACAGACGTAAGGGAAGAACTGGTAGACAGTTAAGGGAGAGACAAAAATATAAACAGACAGAAAGACAGACCGGTAGACAAACAGAGAGAGAGAGAGAGACCAACAGATAAGAACACAGACGAACACTCAGGCAAAAAGACAGACAGAGAGAGAGGTAGACAAACAGAAAGACAAAGAGACTATCAGATAAGGAGACAGACGGACACTCAGGCAAAAAGACAGACAGAAAAAGAGGCTCATAAAACAAATAATTAAACGAACAGAGAGGCAAACGGACAAGGAGAAAGACGGACACACAGGCAAATAAGCAAAAAGTGACACAGACAGAGAGGCAGAAAAATAGACAGCCAGATGGACAGACAGAAAGACAAAGATCAAGAGACAGTCAAAAAGACGAACAGAGAGAGAGGTATAATGATTGACAGACAGACCGACAGACGAACAGAAAGACAAACAACAGACTGACAGGCATACAGACAAAGACACAGACGATACCATACTGATTAACAAGTAGACAATCAAATAAAGAAACAGGCAAACGGGTCGACCGCTTTCAAAGACATAGAGAAGCCCTCATATCTACCGACTGTTGTTGTTGTAGAAGCTTAAAACTTAAATTCAGAGAAAAGAACGGGTTTGAGCCGGGACTCGCGTTATTCTTAAGTTCCTGAAAAATACAACATTCGACAAAATGCCATCATGATAATATTAACGATTCTCGTCACAATTTAAGTTTCCTTTAATTACTTTTTAATCTGCACTATTTATCTGTTTCGTTGACGATTAAAATTCATTGTTTAGTTCAAAAGAAGATGACGATGGTTAACTTACATTTCGTTCTGCAGGTGCAAATTACGTGTCTTAGATTCGTTTGGAACAGACGCAGAATTTAACTATAAACGTTACAAGTGGGAAATTCCTGGAGGGAGATCTGGGTGGGGAGATCTGGACCTTCACCTCGCACAGTTTATGACTATGTTCCGTAAGTATCAACTCATAACAGAATTTTCAAATTTTCGCAAAGTCTAGAAAGCATAACATTGCCCCGAAATGGAAAAAATTACCTTTACCTCGAGGGAAGCGCAACACGCTGGTTTGATAACTAGCACTGGTTGTACATGACAAACTTCCAAATTAAAGGTAAATAGTCAAATATTGGTTGAAGATTTTTGATCTCTCTATTTTTAGACCAAGAAAGCGAATTTTGAAAAGAAACGGACGAGAAGAACTGAGTTGACAACGTTAATTGGCCAACGTAATGAGTTTCTACTGAAAATCAGCGTTTCGAATGTTAGCCCTTTCGTCAGCATTCGCTCTGAGAAGGGCTGACGCTCGAAACGTCAGCTTTGGAGAATCTTTACGGAGGGCAATTTACATCACCTACTCATTTGATCAAACAAAATCGCCTTGTTGTACCCCCCTCTCCCCCCAAAAAAAAAACAAAACAAAACAAAACAAAAACAAACAAACAAACAAAAAAACAAGATGCAGTACTGCTGTTTCTTTAGGAGCTTATTCCCTTTACTCAGCTGTCGGAAAACTTAGGCCTAATTGTTAAGCTGGAGAAACAATGATATGTCTTTTTCGTTTGTAGCACATAGTCCTGACAATTCCTTCCTGGGTTTTGCTGTTCCGTCAAAAGCTCAAGAAAATAACATTAGTCGAAATAAGCCAAATAATCGAGCCTTAGTATATGGAAAGGTTCCAGCGTTTTGGAAGGTGAGCCCCACGAAAATTTTTAAAAGCAACTATTCTAGCTTCGAGTGGCGACGAATGGTTAAATATCAGTGCAGTGAACGCAGCGAGGATGGCCCGACGTGTCTTATGTCTACGACAATCCAACAGATAGCGCTGTCTGATGGGTCGATTGAGACGCGACGTATCCGTCATAATCCTACCTGTAAATTCCATCATTTCGATTCCATTGAGGTCTTCTACTCTCACTCCACTTCCTTAGTTAGAATCTAACACTAGGATTTTTAGTCCGACACAAAAACTTTTCTTCTGTAGACGATTGTTTTCCATTCAGACACCTTTAGCGAACCATATACATTGTCCATTTCTAAAAACTCATTTAGTACTCATGTCACGCGTTATCCTGTAATCGTCAGGGTCGTGCTAACTACATTGACACAGTGAAAAAATACCTCAACGAGGTTCACGCTACGTTGGGTGGAACGAAGGTAAGTAATATTTGAGTCAAGAACTTTGTAAGCTCAGGCCCCAGCCAAAGTGGATCACTAGCGCTTTGAAACATCCTTATTGGGGGACCACCAAGAAAAACGCTTGTTGCCAAGTTATGATTAGTTCTAACAGGGTAATTAAGTATTATTAACTGAGTTGGTAAGGTAAATTGGCCACCGTAAAGAGTTTTAAAGCTGACGTTTCGAGCGTTAGTCCTTCGTCAGAGCCGGAAGATGACTGGTTTTAGTTTCGTATCTGATTAAACATACACAGAAGTAATGTCAGTTTAATCCACCTTCGATTTTCAATTATAACTTTTATAGTATTCCTACCTCATTTACGAAAATTCGCGCCCGAGTATGGTTTTGTATTTTTCATCTGGAGATCCTTCTGATATCGATGCGTATCAAATTTTATCAGGCCGCGCCTTGAAGGTGAAGTTTGTGGGATGGAATTGGGTATACTGACTTGTACACCAAATTAAAGACCTTTCGATTTTATTCTTACTTGCGATATTTCGTAGGAAACACAGCGACAGCATGATGTGCCTAAATATGTCATTAACCATGGGATAATCAATATCACATCACTTATGAATCTTTTGCAATCTAGTAAGGTAGGTGTTTAGTTTGTTACAAAGCGACAATCAGCGGAACTGATATGAAAGACTTATTATAGCATTTCTTTTATGCAACTTTATATTACATTTTCTATTAAAACAACTAAGTGTTTTTTTTTTGCTCTTGTAATCATTTTTTTAGTTATACGATCTTACCTAGTTTTGAAGGAAGCTCTCGTTATTTTTTTTCCTATTTTTGTTTTTGTTTGCTTGTTTGTTTTTTGCGAGCATGATTCCCTTTTTTAAGTTCCTTTGTTTCGTCTACTTGTCACCTCGGTATTAAAAAATCTTCTTTAGTAGTTTTCCATTCCTTTTAAGCAATTTTAACAACGCATATTCGCTTTTGATGAAATTTTCGTAAACAAGGAAACTAAAAATCCTTCAAATGTCTTAACTTAAAACGATTTTTTTTTCTTCTTATTTCTTCATTTATTTTGGATTTTTCTCCTTAAGGTATTTGTAGGTCTTGGTGAACCGTTCGAAGGACCAGCAGCCCTTGAGGCCTTGGCTAATGGTTGTTTTTTCATTAATCCCAAGGTGATGTCTATTTTGTAACTGGGCGTCTCAATGGCATAATGGCTTTTATAGCTAACGGTTAAAAATTTGGCCAAATTAACGGCTAATGGTTCATATCTTTTCATTGCGGTCACCAGAAGCTTTTTACAGGGTAATTTTTTTACGACTAACGTTTAAAGTTTGTCAATTTTTACGCCTAACGGCTATCGGTTTTAAACCCTATTCAGGCCCTCGTAACTGAAAAAAGGTCAAAGAAAAACTAAACATTGCGTGCGAGCTAAAAAAAAAAAAAAGGGAAAACGGACAAGAAAATGAAACTGTTTTGCTACACCTGTGTGTAGAGATCGTGCATGACATAACCCCAACTCGGAAGTAGCCTTTGTTATATTATCACTAAGGCACAGGTCATTTATTATCGCCTCAGAGAGAAGGGGGGGAGGGATGGGGAGGATATTGGTTGTGGGACGATAAAAGTCACTCGATCGCCCCTACAAGGCTCTGTTTTATTCCTGTAATTCCCCAACATTGACAGTTAATTGGCAGTCAATTTTCTATAGTCACACAAAATTCTCCGGCCCCAGACCCCCGATCCCCGATCTCCGACCCCCGACCCTCGACCCCATCCCTCACCCCCTCATTGGCGGCTCGGTGGCAGATAATTTTCTATAGTCCTCCTTTTATACTCTGTCGACGACGACTGTTTCCCCTCATCCTTCTCCCCCAAAGATAGACAATAATTAGTCCGTAATCATGGATTCATTAGTAATTCTTGCTGCAAGTTAAGGTTCGAAGTCATTTTAACTTTGCAAAGAAAGTCTTTTCCCTCCCCTTCCGGAGCCATAGATCGGGAGAACTGTAATCCCTTTTTCAGTTTTTATTTATCTATGTATTCATATCTTTATTTCATTATTGAATGTTTATTTTTTTTTTCACCATAAGTATATTCCGCCCTTGGACCGTATCGCAGGCTTTTTTGGTGGCAAACCGATGGATAGAAAGGTAATTCAGACATCCTTAAAGGACTCTAAATTCCAAGTAGCTCATGTATAGTACACCTTAAGATTGAACCAAATATTTGAGAACTTAAATGATAATTTGAAGTTACAATCTGCAGCACAGTAATATTAGCCCAGAAAAGTGCGTAGGTGTTGGGTTTGTGATCATAAAAGACTTTTCTTTTATTTAAGTCGGCGAAGGTGTACTCCCAAACACCCTGCAGATGCATAGGAACTACTCTTGAATTGAAGTTTCGAGGAGACACTGAACTGCTCATTTAATATCTTTCTATTTTAGATTACGTCTCAAAATCCTTACGCCGAGGTCTTCGTTGGGAAACCTTTCGTACAAACTGTTGACATAAAAAACTTGACTGAGGTTGAAGAAGCTCTCCGAGACATTAGAAACGCCAAGGTAATTATGTTTGTCCTTTCACGTACCGTGAGAATTTTGCTTGGTGTTAAAACTCAGATGCAGACCAAGAATTCGAAATTCATTGTTGAAGTGATATGTTAGTTACCCTGTTGTGTAAAACGCTTCACCACAAAGATAAGATTGTATTTCTTAACTCATCCATTTTATTTACCACGCGGTCGCGTAAAAAAATCACATGATCATAACGTCACTTTTAATGGCATGCAATACATGCGATCAGGATAAAATATAAAAAAATAACAATAAATAATAAAAATAGCCAAAATATCAATGTTCAGTCGCGACATACCCTGCAAGTCTAGTTTAGGTCAATGGCCAGCGATGATTAATTCATATCACCGACTCACTTGATAAAACTAAATTCCCTCACTGACGCAGGGCCACAGTTTATTAGAAACTTATTATAACCCTACTTAAAAAATATAAGAAGTAGAGACGGATATCACTAGCTGGATATCTGGAGTAGATTGGAAAAGCAACAAGGAATTTGTATCTCCAACGTTTCTATTCTAGGGTGTGCCTCACTTACCTTACGAATTTACTCATGTTGGTATGTTGGAGAGAGTAAATGCTTATGTGGAAAAACAGGTAAAACATTTAATATATCATCTCTTCTGTACCGTGTAGAGACGAAACGGTCACGATGTTTTGATAACGCAGTTTCTAAATTTACTTTCTCTTCATATCTAACCAGGATTTTTGCAAGCCTACCAATTGGCCGCCTTTGAGTGAATTAAAAATTTTTGTGGGAGGGAAGGGTCAGTCGTGCATCGCGATCTGCCTTAGAAAACAGCTGATCTGTGAGCCGAAGTTCTTCCTCTCTTTAAACGTGGAGGAAGTTCTTGAAAGGTAAAAATCGACACCTTACAACGAAGTCAGTAAGATATTTTAAAATTGGTCTTGATGTAACCTAAGCATGTGTAACGCAAAGTAGGCTAAATAACAGATCAAACTATGAATGACTCTTTTAGATTTTTTATGAAAGACTTTTTGAATGCGTCCATTCAACTAATTTTTAGTCAATGCATGCAGGAAACAAGCCACACATTTTTTTTCTTTTTCTTTTTGTTGTTGTATCAATAATATTTCCCTTGAATTTCGCTGCAAGTGTTCTAACTGACTAAATTTGGGTATCATGAGAATCACTCACTTTATTTTTCACCTTCGTTAGTTCTGGATTTGATTGTAAATCAACCTTTCACCGAGAGAGCATCTTGGCACCGTCAATAAACACAACAGACAGCAGCTGTGTACTTCAGACTCAGCCATTGTTATTCAGCTGCCGAGCAGCCAGGCCTGGTGTTGTCCGTGTCTGCCCTTGCCGCTCATATCGCAAAGAACAAGTCGCTTTATGCGAAACGTGCTGAAGAACCTGTAGAAATCGTTAGCCATAAATAACAGCCATGATTATTTAAAGCCGCGATTTTGTTGCAAAAGGAGACCGTGTCAGCGTCGTTTATCTGATCCGACTTTTACTCTTTTGAAACGGGAGAAAAATAATCCTGAAAAATCTCTCCCCAGTTAAAACAGTGGTCCAATGTCTGCGCGTTTGCTAACGTTGTAATCACTAGGTGGTGTGATTACAGGCTGTCTAAACTAAGTTGCTTTACACGAGTTATAAACAAACACACATGAAAATAAGTCACGGAGTACTGGTAGCGTATATATTATTTGTTAAAGATAAAAGAAAGATGGCAAATCAAGGGTAATCAGTAATTTTTTTATTATAAAGCATTGCATCTGTTAAAAAATTAAAAAATACATATATTAAAAATCTTACAATTTGTTTGCAATGGCTTAGTAAACTTTTTTTACATAGAGAAAAATACTTGATTTAAAGAGCTAAAATAAATAAAATTAATTCGAGGATAAAATAATTTCCTCCAACGCCCCTGCCTCGGTTTCTTTATCTATTATCTGTGCACCAGTCCTTCGCTGTTTGGACATCTGCTAGGTTACTCAGCTTTTAACATGGCGGGAATTCAGAAACTGCTATGAGAAACTCTCAAAAACGAAGATGTGTGATAACTTGGAGCAAAGATGCCCCTCTAGGAATTATGCACCCGTTCAGAATACATAGAGGAGCTCGGCCACGGCAATTTTCAGCGGTTTTTTTTCTGACCTGCGGAACGTTATCACACTAGATGAACGATACCTCTTTGAAACACGAATTCGAATTTGCCAGTTTAAATAGTATCTGAAGGATTCATAACACGTTTTTAAGACAAAGGTAAGCCAGCTATCGTGCCCCTATTTTTAAATATCCAAAGTATAAATATTTAGACTACTGTACTGAAAAAACGTGTTGATACAAACACAAGCTACCTTTCATGTTGGTTAAATAAAAAATGGCAGTGCAGGCCAGAAATGTCAATACGCTACGCATATTATATCCGAATGAATATATATCCGTACTGTGCTCTGATAATGGAAATTCCACAACAACAAGAAAAACAAATCTTTTTTGCTAACAAAATTGGTTCTACATTGAAACAAGAAAATGGTTTTATAATTAACAGGTGCAGTTAGTAGTAGAATTTTTCACATACGGCTATCAGTTCAGTGAAATACAGATGGAAAACATATTGAGCTCTTTACCTTGAAACGATGGGTGAAATTAGTTGAACAAACCACTATGAATTATTTCACTGGCTTATTGAAATTGAATACATTTGGAGAGCAAGCGATCCTTTATCTCAGTTTTATCTCAGTTGTGGTGTATTGAGTACTTTAGCAGCAAGTACTTGTACCAACATAAGCTATATTACTGAATGAATACCGAATGATGTGAAAGTACTGTGACTGTACTAGACAGAAAATAGAAAGCGATTGAAGAGTGAGTGTCTCCTTGTCAATCTTTTAAATGAATACACATATCATATATCTTCCATGCTTTTTGCTTCTTGCAACAAGGAAATTTCTTTCCTGTCATCGATGCTTTCCTTTTATCACATTGAAACAACGGCAATACAAGACTTACCTGAGCCTTTTGACTCGTAAGAGTGACTAGCATCTAATTACAGTATCATCCCTGAATCAAACATTGAGGTCATGAGAATAAAGGAAATGATCAAGATCGTGAGAAGCCCTTGATTGAGAGAGCAGTGTGGAGAATATGTATGTTGATGAAGGATGTAAAGAGTTAATCTAGTGACCTTTGACACAGGGAACACAAGGATAGTTGATATATGCTCAATTTCTATCTAGCATTTGAAAAACATGACTTATTTGGTTTTGCATTTTCTTTGAATCATCATAAACAAATTTATAAATATCTATTCAATGTTGACCTCTTTTCAACTTTTGGATGTATTTAGCAGCCAACTTCACTGTGGTAAGACTCACATGCTTGCAAACCCCCCCCCCCCACCCCCCTCGAGGCCATTGGACTAGGCTGATAAATATCTGCTTACTTTTGAAATTTTTGGTGTAATTAGAGTAAATCCTACTGCGTTAAGAGAAACAAGCTTGAAATAACCCCGTCAAGTTAATTAAACAGGCAGATAATTATGTATTAGATCAATTAGCTTTATACTATAACACACTAGAAGATTACCGTAAAAGTTATGGAAATCCTCAGTATTTTTATTTCCCATCTAGGGTTGCTTTAACAGGCATGATACAAATAAATTCTACCCTTTATTGCACAAAAAGTAATCTTGATGTAGGCCCGTTTTGGAAACGATCTTGTTAGCGAGATTTTGGTTAACGTAGCTACGGCTTTCTTCAAACTCTTTTTTTTTTCGTGAAGAAATGACTGACAATGAAAATGTTTAGCGGATGTTAACACACTCCAATGAAAACGTTCTACAATGCTGGTAATGTGAACCAATCCGAATTATGGTGAACCTTTCTCCGGCAGTCGTAAAGATACAATCGTAGAAGACCAGCAACGATGGAAAAAGGCCCTGTAATGGGGAAACCTGTCAAAAAACAACCAAAAAAAATTGCTAAAATTGAAAAAGGAACGAGAAATATGACCCCGTTTACTAGCATACAACTAGTCAGTAAAGCTGGAATTCATGTAAAGAAAAAAGAACAAAACTGAAAAAAAAAACAACAAATTTAGAGATGCATACTTATCAACCAAGGTTTACAACGTCGATGTCACTTTGCAAACATTTGATTTGAAAGAGAACCAACGGTGCATGAAATTTTTTTCTTATTTCTTCTTGGTGCAATAGTGTTCGAAAAAGATAATTTCCCCTCTCATGATTCCACTATACACGAGGAAGGCTTAAAGGATGAAGGAGTTTTATTTGACATGCACTCACGAATCTTTTTGTTTTTTTTTTTTCTTGAGGGTATAAATTTCCTTCTGTTATTGACGCTTGATTCCAAGCAGAAAGTTAGAGGTATGTTTTTTTTTTTTTTTTTTTTTTTTTTTTGTATTTGACATAGAGTCACTCTTGTCCAGTTATGCGCTATTCGTAAAAGTTTTATGTTAACTAGATCATTGCGGGAACGTGTTATAACTTACCGACTTAGCAAACGGTTAACGAATTAAACAAGAGAAAAGATTCGTTTGATAGATCACTGCCTTTAAGCCTATACCGTGTGAGCATAATTTTGCTGAAGCAAAATTTTTACCTGCGGGTGTTGTTGTGAAACCTGCTCCAGATCTAATTTAAGTTTTCAATCGAGGGTAACTTAATCTGCTCGGATGGTGCACACAAATACTGGTGAGTTGTTTTTAGATACGTTAAAGTAGGAAAATACGAAATTTAAACAGGAGATTATGTCAGTTTTAAACGTTATAAAAAAACAAACTAACTTAAGGTAAGTGAATTGTTTTTGATATCGAAACGCTAACACATAACGAGGATGATGGGGAAATAACAGGTGCATATACTCCTAAAAATGGAAGGATATATACTTTAAGTTTTTCACTGATTTGACTGAGAAGAAATTTTAATCTCTTTTCCAAAAACAAACGAAAGGTAAGCGAAGAAACCAACTTAGGCTATGTAAATTGTCTTTTAAATCGACACGTTATCGTGGTTACTTTGGTGATGAAATGCGGTGCTCGGTTAAAATATACTTAAAATTTCTGAATATATAGGCTTTATGTTGTTTTATGGATTGAATAAAATAGAAAATTTTCATTTCTTACAAATACTCAATATATGAAAGAGATGAGTTAAAAAATTTAACTTAAGCTGAGTAAATTGTTTTGTATCGGAACGTTATCACATAGAGAATCAATGTAATATCAGGTTTATTTACTCCCAAAAGGCCTTAAGTCGAAACGTTATCGTTTAAGCTTAATACATGTTGTTTAATCAAATTAGAGTTACTGCAGTTTTAAAGAAACAAGCTGAGTCGGAGTAATGAGTTTGTGATGTCGAACACTGATCACATATAAGATGGGTTGATATGTTTCCCTAGAAATGCATAAATTAGTAATCTCCATGTCACTGATCGGTTTCATCGTAGGTAACATTCACTGAATCTTCGAGAAATTATTTCTAACTCCCAACTAAGACTAGTTAGAGATATGGCTTGTTTTTTAGATATCCAAAAATAGGAACCTACGGATACTATATGATTAGGAAACTTAACTCGTTATATGATTGGATGCAGCATTAGCTTTTCTTTGTGCAGGGTACTGTAGTTATTAAACCCAAATATTTCTGTTATAATCGTTGGGATTAGAATTATTGCATGGAAAAAACAAAACAAAACAAAAAAACAAAACAAAAAAAAAACATGTTTACGCGGTTTTTATGATCGCTTTTCCTTTGCCTTTTTTCACTATCGACGATGTCAGATTACGACAGACACCAGATCTCTAAATTAGGGTAGAGACCAGGATTTTCGGTGGGGCGATTGTGATTCATCGCAGAGCGTTTAATATATTTTTGGCCACGGCAGATTCATGGTACTTTTAGATGGTTCGTTTTGTTTCGGTTCGATGCTTAAAGTGTGAGTATTCTGTCCCCTGATTTTATTTTCTGTCGGATTTTGTGCTCGTCGTTTGTAAAGTCAACAATTTTTTTGTGTTTTTTTTGTTGTTGTTTTTATTATTTTTTTTGTGCGATGATCACTTTAAAAACCATCCGCTGGGGCTTTTTTTCGGTTCCTAGCCGATATTCAACTTTTAAGGAATTTTTCACTCGGATTCAAAGGGGTTGAGTCGAGTGCATGTATACATGGAGAGTTTTTTTAAAGTTCATGGCATTTGCTCGAAACCTTTCATAGTTTTGAATGCACATGTTTGCTCTATATGTTAATTAAGCAAAGGATCTTTCTCCCTGATCGTACTAGCATTTTATGGAAAAGTTTTCTTCAATATGTAAACTTAAAGATGTATTTGACTAAGTACCTTATCGAGACAAGAAGCTTTAAAGTTCAGGAATATTCAAGG